GAATACCCTTATATGGACTTTAGATAGTGCAGTACCAATAAATTTTTAGGCTTTAGTTAATTTATAAAATTTAAATTCAACTCATTTTATCTTTAAAAATTTGTTAATTTGAGCCTATGAAATTTAAATTCATTTTAATTTAACAACACTGGTTAATTATGTTTGGACTTGTACTATTTGGGTTATGAAATTTAAGTCCAACTCAAGCCTATTTAATTAAATTTAGACTTGTATCATTTGACCTTATGAAACTTAAGTCCAAATCAATTTTATTTATCTAATTGAAACCCCAACGGAATTTAGGATGTTAGTCTCAACCAAGCTTACAACATTATGATGAAATTAATTGTACAAACTCAAGACGTCCGAATATACAGTTCATCCCTATTGTAACGATCGTGTATAAATTAACAAAAAAATAAGGTTAAATTACAATAGTTAATTTAATTGACTTTATGTAAAAGATGTAGTGTTAACTCTATTTAACATACTTTTCATGTGCATTAGCCTTTTATTCTCGATAAATTTGATGAAGATGAAGACCCTACCTAACTCTTGTTCTTCAATACTTTTGATGACTCTCCTCACCGTTTTTCATTTTAAATGACTTGAAAGATAATTTGGATGCATGTTTCAAAGAATTTTCGTCATTTTGAATGACTTGAAAGATAATTTGGATGGATTTTTCAAAGAATTTTTCTTGGAGATTAACTTGCTTTAGTTGAAAGTGAAATTCGGCTATCTTTCGTTGACTTCTGCTTTTTTTCTCCTTTCCTTGCCCCCTAGACCTCTATTTTATAGTTCTAGGATAAGGATGGTGGCAGTTATCCATATAAACATAATTTGACTTGAATACCCTTATATGGACTTTAGATAGTGGACTACCAATAAATTTGTAGGCTTTAGTTAATTTATGAAATTTAAATTTAACTCACTTTACCTTTAAAAGTTTGTTTAATTTGAGCCTATGAAAATTTAAATTTATTTTAATTTAACAACACTGGTTAATTATGTTTAGGCTTGTACTATTTGGGTTATAAAATTTAAGTCCAACTCAAGCCTATTTAATTAAATTTAGGCTTGTATCATTTGGGCGTATGAAATTTAAGTCCAACTCAATTTTATTTAGGAGAAATTAGAAGGGGGTACACAAAATTAAACTTAATTGTAAAAAAGTACATAGAAAAAAATGTTGGGTAATTAAGTCCTTAATTTTAATACTTATTTGTATCTAAGTACATTATTTGAATTTTATTGGTTTTTTGTGACATTTTTGCCTTCTATTAATCCATGTGATTTTTCTTTGGAAAGTGGTGCATTAAACATCTTATAGTTTTATAGGAAAAACTTTAATATATATATATATATAATAAAGTAGAACAAAATTTGAATCTAGAGACAAAGAGAAGTTCAGATCGTTTTGAGACAAAACATAAATACATCCAATGAACAACGTAATCCTAATGTAAAAGACAGTTTAGATTATTTCAAAAATTTTGATCAAACGGTCTATAATGAGTACTAAATTTTATTTTCCTGCCCAGCCTCTCTATCACGCGTCTCTCTCTCACACGCATCTCTCTCTCACTTCTGCCTCTCTCTCCCAATCTCTCACTCACTTTTGTCTCTTTCCGTACATCTCTCAAAGACTTATCTCAGTCTCTCAAAGACTTATCTCAATCTCTTATACCTATACATCTCTCACTCTGTCTAATTCAAAATACATATCTCTCATTTTCATATCTATACTACGCCTGTCTCTCACACTCTCTCTCAACCAGTGACCTCGCCACCACCACTGCCACCGTCATTGCCATCGGTGATACCAGGTTTCACTTTCTTTCCCTCTCTCTATCTCTGTTCCTCTATTTCCTCAGTTTCCCTCTCTCTATGTCTAATTTTTCTCTTACCAACAACATCTATAATCCCAACGCTATCGACTCCCCCACCCCACCCCACCCCACACCACACCATAGGGTTTCTCTTTCACGCCCATCGTAAACCCACCCATCTTCACAGAAAGAACACATTCTTTTTGTTAAATATTATTTTTTCTTTGTATTGATTGCAACCTAAATTGCTTTTGATTGTATACTGATTTGGTACCCTAATTTTGTATTTTTAATTTTGAGTTAGGTCATGATTTTTGTTGCAGGTGATTTGTCAGTGAACACACAAGACACATCGAAGGTGTTTGACACAACGCCTACATTGTTCGATTTAATGCTAAAGAGGTAATTGACCAAATGGCCCAATCTCTCTGTGCACCACATGTTCGATCACCACGCACAGTGATGCGGACACACTGCTCCCTTCTTCTCTTTCACCACGCACCAAAATTTTGGCCCATTAATTATTAACGTTTATCTTACTTGAAGTGTTGCATTCAATCTTGAACTATTCATTTAGATGTGATATTTTTTATATCATTGAGTTTTTGCTTTGTTTAGTTAATCAAAGTATAGAACATTTGAGCTTCCCAATTTTTAATTTTGTGCTTCTGCTATAATGTAGTTAGTTACAATAGATCCTTTCTAATTTTTGAATGCTAACAATGTAGTTAGTCACAACAGATCAAGTACATCTATGTGTTTGTAACATTTCTTTAGTGAGGTGGATATATTTGACTTGAATATTTGTTCAACTGCTTTATTGAAGGTGGGTTGCCGACATCGAGTCTGAGGCTTCATCGGACATAACCAGTTGAGATATTATGTATTGAAATATAATTTATGTTCGTTGTATTTTTTTCTGTGTTTTCTATTAAAATATTGTGAGGAGTTAATTTATGTTCTATTTTTTCCTTGCAATTTGGATTGCGGAAAACATTATTGATTAAAAATGTTTGCTTCTAAATTTGGATGTCACAGGGGTAATGTCTTGCTGAGTTGGTGCTTCGACTGTAACTTCCATGATAACTTAAATAAGTAGTCTATTTTCATATTTGGGGCTTCCATAGTTGCGGTTATTGATCGTAAACACTTGGCTTATGCATTCCATGAAATTCTAAAGAATTTTGTGTTTGTTGATTATGTACATTTTGATTTTGACCAACTTCCTGCATTAAGTAAGGTGACTTCCACAACATAGGTGTTAGAAACTATTGTTGCATAGAACATTAACTGGGCTGCTATAACTGGCATATATTGTCGACTAAATATCACATTCGTTATTGGCACATAACCAAAACTAGATAATGCCTCATGCATATAGGTTGTAGTAGTATATATGAGGAAGAAAATCAACTTTGATTGATAACATTGTTGTACTTTATTTAAAATTTTATCAGCTGAATTCTTCAGTCTTCTTTCTACTAGAACTTAATTGACAAGAGTTTGTATGCTTGATTTGCCTTCCTGATACATAGGTGTGATTTCCTTCCATTGGGCTTCTATGGGGTTTTTTGTTTCTCTTTTTTCGGTATACATAGACATGTTTATCCCACTTTTGAGGGGAAATGGAATGGAAACTATCAAAAATTCTGTGAGAACCAAATCCAATTGTTGGGATTAATACATGCCAATATTTTTTCTTATCGTACAAACCATATTTCTAACAACATGTACACCAACCTTTTTTATTTGTTCGAATTTATCCTTTGAAAGTACTATGCTACTTGGAGTTTGAACCTGCAGCTTATAATAAATTCTGATTTAGCTTTCTCTATTGGGTGCTTAAGGGGATTGGTTGGGTAGGTGAGATGGTTGCAAGGTATGGGTGAATGCATGCTTGAATCCATCAGAGGATCCTCCTCCTCTTCAGATTCGTCGTGATCAGCTATTATACTTTTTTACCTATAGGAGCTCTCCAAGTACAGGTTTGAAAGTCTAGAATTACCACTAGTCCACTACCATGTCGTTGAATTGGTTTTCTTCAGCAATAATAGTTTCATTTCCAGCTTAATTTCGACATTTGATTGTAGCAGCTCAAGTCTTGGTACATAGCTCCTAACATATCGGAGTCTCACCCAACATGTGGATTTATGTCATGGATGCCATTATATTTTTCATATATGGCTATTCATTTAAGTGAGTGCATCAAGTGCAACATTTTGGTAAATGTTTGAATTATAATATTGCAGTAGTTGATAAGTAGTTGTATTAAAGCAGGACTATGGTGCAATGATGTGTTAATCATTGGTTTCATGCAAATTTTTTCAAAATGTTTTACATCAATTACTAAATTTTATTATATAAATGATGTACACTGGGTGATATTATTCAATGGTTATGTTTTTAGAGGAATTTTGTCGATTAGTTTTTTAAACAATAGTGGGTCAGCATTGATTGACGATCTTTCTCAATTTTTTTAATTTGTGAATTTTTTTTTGGTGTATATAGTGCCTTCAGGCATGAGTAATTGTTTGCTGTTCAGTTGAGCACAAAAATGGAGAGGCATAATGGCTTGATTTTGGAGTATGGAATGAGTGAATGTATTAACTTACTCTTATTAGTTTAAGTTTGGTATTAATTCAATTTATATTTGTATGATAAATAGTGTTAATAGCACTACTAATGTAATTTGATGAGATTATTAATTTAAGTCATGTATATTTACATAAAGATTTGATTCTATAAGTTGTACACCCATGTCGATATTATTCAGGGATAATATTTTTAAAACAAAATTTGACAAAATTTTAAGCAAATAATAGTTGGTACATACCAACTATTGAAATTTTGTTTCCTATAACAGTTATTTGAATCTTAGTGTGTTATAGGTGGTATACATAAAGTTGGATGTGACTTAAGATTTTTTTGTTTTATTATAAAGTGATTTCACAATTTTTAATATATATAATAAAATAGAACTGACGGTCTACGGTTAGTCCGAACTTTGTTTTCCGCCAGCGAAGAAGCCTCTCTCTCTCTCTCTCTCTCACGCCTCTCTCAGTCTCTTACGCCTCTATCTCCTAATCTCTCTCTCTCAGGCAGCTAACCACCCAACAACTGATGGACTCTCCTAAGCCAACTACTGATCCCTTTCTTTATCTCTCTCCTTTCCTTATCTCTTTCTCTCTCTCTCCCTTAACTCTCACCCGCCTCCTTTTCTTAATCTCTCTGTCTTACTCTCAGGCAGGGAACCACCCGAAAAGCTCAATAACTTTTTGCCTCTCACTCTCCCTTTGCCTCAATCATGGTATTACTCTCTCTCTGCGTTTTATGTGTGTGTTTTTCTGAGTTCAGTGTGTGTTTTTCAAATGCTTAGCGTTTTAGCCTGTTCAATGGCTCTTTTTTTGATTCAGTTCAATTGTTCAATGGGTTGATAGTATAAATGTGAATTCTATGGTTGTTAATTATCGATTTCTGGTTTTGGATTTATATTTTTTTTCTCTCCTCTCTCACCCGTTCTCCACTATTCTAACCCCACCCGAAAGCTCCCCAGCTGTTCGTCCTAACCCTGCACACCAGCTGTTTGACAATATGTATGAACCATGTTTTTTGTTTGAGTTATCAATTTCGAGACTGTTGAGCAATAGGTTAATAATGTCATCCCCATATTATAATGTCATTTTGTTTCAATCGGGTGCTTAATTTGGGGAATTTGCCTACAGATTTTTTTGTTGTCACAAATAGGCATACAAACTGAACCCCTTTAAAGGTGGACACCAGATACCTTTTCATTTTAGTCTCTGATGGTCACTGGGAAAGGACCACCCAAGAAATAAAGGATTCTTATAGGTGGTGCTTTGCTGATTCTTATCTGCCTCGCGCAACTTTGCATCAGATTCGGATAGTTGAAAATGGAAAAAGTTGGCTTCTGCCTTGCACTGTTTTGGAATAGTGGCTGCTGCTGGTTCCTGATGTGCAAGGAGGGACTTGAAGAGGATGGACGGTGATGGTGATGGTGATGGTGACGGTGATGGTGATGGGGATGGGCCGTGGTAGTTGGTGTCTGTGTCTTTGTTTGATATGGTGATGCTGTTGGTGTTGGGAGTGGGTGAAAAGGAGGGTTGGAAGAACCCATTTATTGAAAACAGGTTTAGTTGGGAGACAAGTGGGTGGGTTAGAGATATCAGCTGGTTACTTTCTTAATGGTGTGATCAATGAGAAAAGAGTTTTGGAGGGAATGCATTGGGTTTTGGAATTGGGATTGGGATTCCAATAGTGTTGTTGGGGTTTCAAGCAGAGGTGGCAGGGAACAACTGGTGTTGGGAGATGAGGAAACTTCCAACAGGTAGCTATTATGTCCTTGGAGCACTGGGTTTTTCTTCTCATCCATTTTGTGCACTATTCTGCATATTACTCATTCCTCCTGCAAATTAAAAGAGACATTCGCAGACATAATTTACACGAACTAAAACATATATATATATATATATATATATATATATATATATATATATATATATATATATCAACTAGAGTAATGCTATTGAAATCCAAAAAATTGAACTAATTTGTTAATCTAATGACGTGACAATAACATAATCAAATAGTGTTGTTGTGACGGTAATAACATTACACTATGAACTAACACTGCTATGTTTTCTTTAACTTATGTATTTTAACATATAGTTGTTTCTTTCTCCAGCCTGAAACAATTTCGAAGTGCAGGCACTTTCAATATGCAACATGCTCTATCTAATCTATCTATCAGAAAAAGTAACGAAAAAGAAAGTAGAGCAATTATGATAAGTTTCAACCATAATTAAGTATTTGTTCTGGACTATAAGTACTAATCTGTTGCAACTTACTCTACAAGTGTTTGGCTCTCTCTGATATTGCTACTTTCAAATGCTTAGCGTTTTAGCCAGTTCAATGGCTCTTTTTTGATTCAGTTCAATTGTTCAATGGGTTGTGATTTCTTTAGACTCCTATTTTTAGAGGAAATTTTATTAAAATTTCTGAAAAAATAGTGGAGATTAAAGAAGATGGGTCTATGTTATTTTTGAGTGAATTCTATAGTTGTTGATTCAATTTTCTTTGATATATTGATGCAGGTACTGTTTCATACGTGATATTGGGGTAATTTCGATTCTTGACTCGGGATTTCGTTCAACCAATTCTCTCTCGCTGCTACTTTATTTCGGTGAACAATATTCCCGATTTGTTTAATATTCTAATAATCCAGGTTTGTTTAATATTCATGATTTTTGCTATTGTTTCATCTACTATCACTAAAGATTTGTTTATGTTGTTGATTTGATTATTATGAAATTTATCTACTATCACTAAATAGTTCAATGTCTAATGTCAATGCTTTTTTTGTATGTGGACATAATAAATTAGGAGTATATTTGCACATTTGTATCTGTTTTTTACACCTTGGCACTGCTACAACATTATTTAGTTCGTAAATAATTTAAACATTACTTAGTTCATAAATAATTTTAACATTAATTACTTCATAAATAATTTAAACATTAATTAGTTCATAAATAATTTAAACATTAATAAGTTCATAATTAATTTAAACATTATTTAGTTCATAAATAATTTAAACATTATTTAGTTTGTAAATAATTTAAACTTTATTTAGTTCCTAAATAATTTAAACATTATTAAGTTCATAAATAATTTAAACTTTATTTAGTTCATAAATAATTTAAACATTATTAAGTTCATAAATAATTTAAACATTATTACGTTCATAAATAATTTAAACATTAATTAGTTCATAAATAATTTAAACATTATTAGGTTCATAAATAATTAAAACATTATTTAGTTCGTAAATAATTTAAACATTATTAAGTTCATAAATAATTTAAACATTATTTAGTTCATAAATAATTTAAACATTACAACATTATTTAGTTTATCAATAATTGAAATCGAAATCTCTGTAATAAACCAAACTAAAACCAAAAACTATAACAAACCTCATATGGGTTGTATCTATTTCAAAACCAAATAATGCAGAAAAAAAAAGAAGGTAACTTGCATATTTTTGTGCCAAAGAAAGTAAAAACTATTCTTCCTTGCAATATTTTTGAATGCAGTTGTAACTATGTATATAGATTGAAATTTTTATGATCTCATGTTTATTGTTTTTTAAAGGAAAGAAAAAAGTTGAACGCAATGGTGAATGCTAGCTATACACGAAAAGGAAAAGCAATCTCTTATGCCAAAGAAAGTGAAAATACCTAATGTCAAATGGTATTATTGGTTGAATAATCGCAATACTAAGTAATTGTTAAGAAAATTTTACTCATTCATACCAATATTTTTTGTTATTTCACTTTTTAGGTAATCAATGATAATGTTTTAACAAAACGTCAAATGACACAACGTGCATGTCGGGAGCGCGAGAGATCGGAACGTCTTAATCTGTTATGAGCATTAGAAGACTGGGAGGCTCAACAGGAGAACAATGAACATTAGAACTTATGAAGCAATACTTTTCAGGTAACTATGTTTTCTCAATCTTTTTATTATTTGAATGTTTATGAATTGAAAAAAATATTTGTATGTTTTTATAGAATGAAAAAACATCTAAATATATTATTTTTTATGAATATAGGTTGTATTCATTCTTTTGGAAGTTGGTGGAATCTCAAATGACAAAATTTATTCTTTTGACAGCATTTGTGAACTTATTTTTATTATGTAGATAGTTGCATTTGTGGACAATTTTTTGTTTGAAATATTTATTACATGGGTGAATTGAGTTTATAATTATGTTTTGTTATTGAATTGGATTGTAATAATGGTGACAAATATAAAAAAAAATTATTGATTTCATTTATTACTTAAAGATAGTAAATTTGATTTAGTTCTATTAGTATTTTTTTTTCCTGGTGTATTTGTATATGTGTTGTTGTTTTAGAGAATTTTTTGTTCATTTTTTACAAGTAACGCAGTGCCTTCAAACACGGACAATTACTAGTATATATATATATATATATATATATATATATATATATATATATATATATATATATATATATATATATATATTGTTGTTAAATCTCTTATCTAAATTTTGAATTATCTTTAATGCACCTTGATTCATGCGTATTTTTTTTTGGAAAGTGTTTTATTTTCAAATTAATTTAATAACAAAATAGTGTAATAGTATAACAATAACAATGTAATAGTGTAATAATAAGAGTGTAACAAATACACTGTAACAAAAATAGTGTTCAGTAGTTTTGTGCATGTAGTATCAAATTCAAAACGGAGATAGACTATTTTGAATGAAATTATATGAAACTATATGTTTGACAAAATGTAACAGTACAATATTTTGTGTAAATAGCTTGTTACACTGTTATTATTACACTATTACACTATTCGGATATTAAATTAATTTAAAAATAAAAACACTTTCCAAAAAAAAAAACGCATGAATCAAGGTGTATTAAATATAATTTGAAAACAAAATCACTTTTCAAAAAAAAAAAAATACGCATGAATCAAGGTGCATTAAAAATAATTCAAAATTTAAATAAGAGATTTAACAAACCGTTTTTATATATATAGGTATTTATATACACATGAGTACATATATATGTGTGTGTGTGTGTGTGTGTGTGTATACACGTTTTTTTATATATACGTATTTATATGTATTAACAAACACTCATGAATTAAGGCACATTAAAGATAAGAGATTTTGAATTAAATGACCCCAAAATGGGCATTTACGTCTTTGTATATCAGCTGTGTACTTTTTTTCAAAATATTTTGTTTTATGTACTTTTTACCAAATAAGTCTAATTAAGTGTACCGGCTTCCAAAGAACCATTTTATTTATCTAATTGAAACCCCAAAGGAATTTAGGATGGTAGTCTCAACCAAGCTTACAACAATATGATGAAATTAATTGTACAAACTCAAGACGTCTGAATTTACAGTTCGTCCATATTGTAACGATCGTGTATAAATTAACAAAAAATAAGGTTAAATTACAATTGTTCATTTAATTGACTTTAAGTAAAAGATGTAGTGTTAATTCTCTTTAACATACTTTTCATGTGCACCATCCTCTTATTCTCGATAAATTTGATGAAGATAAAGACCCTACCTAACTCTCATTCTTCAATACTTTTGATGACTCTCCTTACTGTTTTTTGTTTTGAATGATTTGAAAGATAATTTGGATGCATGTTTCAAAGAATTTTTGTTATTTTGAATGGCTTGAAATATAGTTTGGATGGATTTTTCAAAGAATTTTTCTTGGATATGAACTTGTTTTAGTTGAAAGTGAAATTCGGCTATCTTTCTTTGACTTTTTTTCAACTTTCCTTGGCCCCAAATAGTTGTAGGATAAGGATGATGATAGTTATCCATGTAAACATAATTTAACCTGAATATCCTTATATGGACTTTAGATAGTGGACTACTAATAAATTTATAGGCTTTAGTTAATTTATAAAATTTAAATTCAACTCACTTTACCTTTAAAAGTTTGTTTAATTTGAGCCTATGAAATTTTAATTCATTTTAATTTAACAACACTAGTTAATTATGTTTGGGCTTGTACTATTTGGTTTATGAAATTTAAGTCCAACTTAAGCCTATTTAATTAAATTTAGACTTGTATAATTTGGTCTTATGAAATTTAAGTGCAACTTAATTTTATTTAGGGAAATTTGGAGGCTAGTCCCCCTATATGGACTTGTTTGAACTTAAGTTCATCAAGGAAACTTATTTATTATGAAGTCCATATTTTGTCAATTTTATCATACTATCCTTTCTCTTTAGAAGTGAAATAAAACTAAAAATTAAAAACTCCTACATCTTAGGAGTTTGACTAACATTAAAATATTTTCTCTCTCATATCTATCTATATTCATATATAAGTTAAGAGTTTGACTAACATTAATTTTACTATATATATATATATATATATATATATATATATATATATATATATATATATATATATATATATATATATATAGTAACATTCAAATACAAAAAAAAGTTTTCATTTGGACACAAAATATAATACATTTAAACACAAAAAAATAATAACATTTAAACATAAAAAAAAAATTGAAACATTCAATATTAATATTTTTAAAAAATAACAAAAATATTAACATGTTCAACAAAAATAGTAACATGCTTAACAAAAACTGTAACATATTTAACAATAATTATTCCTCTCAAATTCAAACACAAAAAATAGTACCATTCAAACACAAAAAATAATAATATTGAAAAACAAAAAAAAAATAGTAAAATTGAATATTAATATTTAGTAAATAATAGTAGTAACATGTTCAAAATAATAGCAACATAAACAGTAACATAATCAAAAAAAAATAGTAACATGAATTTGAATATATATATATATATTTGGCTACCACTTTCCTCACCATAGCACTGCCACTATCGCACCATCGTCACCTCCCAAGCAACGCCAACCATCACGTTGCCATCACCTCCACAACAACGCTCACCACCATCACCACCCCACAAAAGCCACTGTACTTGCATCATCTCCATAACAAACTAGCGTGTGTATATATATATATATATATATATATATATATAGGGAGAGAGAGAGAGAGAGAGAGTATACATAGAGAGAGAGAGCTTTGAATTTGATATATATATATAAAGAGAGAGAGAGAGAGAGAGAAAAAGCTTTGAATTTGAATTTTATATTTATGATGGAGATTTTATTGGTATATTTTAATTGACATTGAATTAAATGATAACAATTTTCAAAATAGGAAAATAATTTAACTTCCTTTCATATTTTTGAGATAAAAAAAAAAAGTGGACTTAAGTCATTATATATAATTTTAAACATGGACTTAATTTCTTATAAGTTTCTTTGCAGGATCTTCAAACAAGTATATCTAGGGGGACTTACTTCCAATTTTCACTTTTATTTATCTAATTGAAACCCCAAAGGAATTTAGGATGGTAGTCTCAACGAAGCTTACAACATTATGATGAAATTAATTGAAACTACATAAATAATTAATAAATCTATAGAGTTGGTAATTAAGAAACAATTATAAATACCCATGCATCGTTGTGAAGAACTCAGATCATAGTGCGTGCTTTTCTTGATGGAGAACAGAGGGATCTCCAAAAGTTGTTCTCGTGAACAGAAACTATGAAAGGATGAGTTCCAAGAGTTGCTCCAAACACTTCCAAGAGGGAACGTTTTGATGGAGCTCATCTATATCAATACCAAGGCTTCTGGTCTCCCTCAAGAGCCCTTTGGGGCATCATCTCCTCCTAAAGGCACTTCCAAGCTCATGACACTGATCTTATACTAGCCACTATCCCAAAATCAGGCACCACTTGGTTGAAAGCCCTCATCTTCACTATCCTAAACCGTGTCCATTTTGCTCTCAAAGACAGTCCCTTGCTCACAGCAACCCCTAATGAGCTTGTACCCTTTCTTGAGTTTGAATTTTACCGTAAGAACCAACTTCCTAGTCCTAACCTTGAAGAAAGGCCTTGCCCAAGAATTTTTGCAACCCACTTACCTTACGCAGCATTGCCAGTTTCTATCAAACAGACGAGTTGTCGCATTGTCTATGTATGTCGAAACCCTTTTGATGGGACATTTCTGGAAGGAAACAGATCGTCGACATGTGTCCTCGATATCTTATGTTTCCAGCCAGGTATGGCCACGTGTCCTCGGCGTCACTCATCCCCTTTTGCCAAGGTGACAATGCTCGGAGCCGAGGGACTCCCAATCGGTGTGATTGACACATATATCCTCGGCTCGGTGTAAACCCTTTACTCCAAAGTAGGCAAATATCTCTCGGTGCCGAGGTGTTCCTTCTACACGCTGGATCTCACATCTTCTCTGCTTCTATAATAGCTAATGATTAAAAGATGACTAGCCTAGGCTAGGGGTGTTCAAATTTTCGACTGGCCGCAAGTTCCTACCCTACTCGACCCTACCCTATCCTATCCTACTGAACGGCTAGCCGCAAAAATTGGGTAGGAATGCGGAAGAGTTTTTGGTCTTCCGACAATTTTTGGGTAGGAATGCATAGGGTAGGGTGAACACCCCTAGCCTAGGCCAGGCTAGGCTAGCCATCATGAAGACGCTCTACTCCATGGTGTCAGGAGGCACAGGAATGCAGAACATACAACCAAAGAAGAATGGACGCGTGGAATGTGATATCAAATCAGTAGCAAAAAGATCTGGATACCCCTGCTGACACATGACTAGAGCAAGTAAACATTTAATGAATTCTCCTCCTGATGAGACAGCAATTAAGGCATGAGGGCCGAGAAGTAAAGTGCATTAAAGATTCTCATACCTGGGCATTAAATGCATCCTCGCCGAGAAGAGGGAAATCAAATGTTCGGCAGACCGAGGAGTGAGCATTAAATGCTCGGTATCCCGATCAGTTAAAGCAAAACTCATTCCCCATAAAAGTTAGGGGTACACTGGCCCATCTCTGACAAAATATCTGCTGGATGGACTATCAGCAATCATGAGCTTTTGAAAGTATAAATAGATCTCAAAAATGCATCGCAAAGGTATGCAAGAACTTCTCGAAAGAACTACACAGTGCTTTCTTCTTCTCCTCTCTCAAAGAACTGACTTGATCGTCGAAGGAGATACGCCAGAGAGCACTCCGGCACCCTTCTAACTGGTTTTTCTGTGTCACAGGGTCCCCCTATAGTCTTCCAGGACCGGTCAGGCGACCCAACATACAATTCATCACCAGTCTTTAGGGCTCCTTTATCTCTCTCTACCCACTTTTTGTTGCCTGAACCAACGTTCAGACGGGTCGAATCGCAGTTGGAGGCGATCAGATATCCTGAAAGCAAACCTGCAC